TGATACATTTTAGGGCACAACAAATGCACTAATATACTAATTGGGCACAAAGATGGCACTGACTAGTTATACTGAGACAAAAATGGCCCTGATTAGCTATTTTGGGACACAGATAGCTCTGGGTAGCTGTAAGGGGACAGAGATGACACTGGGAAGCAGAGCACAAAGATGGCACTAATAAGCTTTTTGGGGGCACAGCTGGCATTGTAGGAAGTGGACTACCTGGTGATGTTGGGGGCCCAAAGAGTTGGAGTGGTTTCCATAGGAAATGGTTGTGGTTAAAAGTGTTTATTTGTGAAGGGGAGAAGTTAGAAATATAATAACGCCCACCTGAGGGTGCCAAAAATATTATTGCACACAGGCATCTGTGATCCTAGGATTGACTGTGACCCTTTTACCTTAAGTAGACCTAGGCATATGCATTGAAGCAAAAACAGAATATGATAACTCTGAGAACAGGCAAAAGCTGAGAGAAACTCAATAGCTTGCAATTTGGTTAATTCCTGCTCAGGTCGCAAAAATGTTTTTGCTCATTGATGCCTTCTAGTCACAGTAAGCACAGAGTCCATGTCTGGACAACCTTGCTCGCTGTGCCTATAGTGGAATCAGACACATCACTGACAAGGCCCAACAGAGCAGAAAGAATCGTCTGGGATTGTATCTCTCTTACAGTGGGAGCCAGCCTGCATTTGGATGTGGACCACTGTTTTGGGTGGGATCAGTATGAAATGCAAAATGTTTAGGCTCTGTGAGCTACAACCAGTTTAAGAACTTTTTGGGTTTTCCTCCCAGGAGCCTCTGTTTCTGAGAGATAATTGAATGAAAAAACTGTAACGCAATTATCTCATTTACATATACAACATTACAATTTATCATAAAAAGACATTTTAATAACATAGGTACCCCACGAACGTCATATCACCGAATAGCTAAGGTCTGAGTGCCCAGAAATAGCACCCAGATCCCTTCGGTGGTTCGGGAATGCCAACTGCATAAAGTTTTGACTGGTCAGCCATGAGGTGATGCCCCAAAATAGTTACATATAAAACAAGGCAATGACCGGTCATCTTTTGTGGGTTCTCACACGAACACTGACGAATGCTCCCCTGGCTGTTAGGGAGCGAATGCTTCCTCTGTTCGGTAGATCCTATCTCCCAAATACCAAATGTATTATAAAATGCTTTATTTTAAAAAAAAAATGTATTTATACTTTTTTACTTTTTTTAGGAGACTGGAGGATTGCCTGAGAGCACAGTCAGTCCCCCTGCAGGCAGCTCCATAGACTCCTAAAGCAACCATGTGATCATGTGGCCGGAACTGCTGCAGGGGGACTGCTTGGGATCGCTGTGGATCTCCAGTCCAAATAAGGGGCAACGGGATGGCGGGACGGTGGTAGGACGTTAATAAAGGGTTAATAAATGTTAAGGTTTAATGGGTATTAGTTATTCATTCAAGGCATAGGTGTCTCCGTCTGTGAACTGTTCATTGCAGAAATGTCTCCTGCGTGATTTAATGATGGATGGAATAAGGGTTGTATTTGACTTACTTGTTTGAGTTTGGGCATGTGTCCTTCATTTGGGACCTGACGTTGCAGTTTCTTAAATTAAAAGGAATACCCCCCTCATCCCATCACTAGGAGGTTTGTTGACACAGTGGCAAGCAAAATGATGACAAAAATAATTCAGTTTGTCTGAACTAATTTATTAAATGAAATACAGATTAGCTCAATTGCTTATATAAAAAAATTTTTTATATTGAATCAGAATGGCCACCTTTTGCCATGACATTATTTACATTTTTGTTTGCCTTGCACAAGTCTATTATATATACAATCATAAACAGTCTGTGATGATTAGGTTATCAGTTCAGCTACTCTTATTATATGTAAAGTATTATAATTTCTGGTATCTGATCATATTTTGAAAGCTATACTTTAATCCAGGGATGGGGAACCTTTGGCATCCAGATGTTTTGGACTACATCTCCCATAATGCTCTTACAGTCATAAAGCTGGCAAAGCATCAATGGGGATGTAGTCCACAACATCTGGAGGGTCGAAGGTTCCCCATCACGGCTTTAATCCATAGATCTAATTTAAAAAATGAATATTATTTGATAATATGCTATTTTAATAATGCCTTTTAATTGGGACATTAAAAGTAATCCTCTTAGTTTTTTTTTTTTTTGTCCCACCTCTCCTTAAGTCCTCCATACCAGGCAGGTGTGTAGCCTCTTTAATTTTTTACGTCTATTTATAATATTCTGAAATTGTTCTCTATCTGTGACTGAGTCAATAAAGGGATTAGGTTTGTCAGAATGTTACCGCAGTATTATGCACTCCTTCCCAAACTTGTACTAATTATGCTGTATTGATTTTTCAGTGTTTGCATATTGCTGCATTGATTATACTGTAGACAGTAATGTCAAGATGGTTTAAATATTTGAAATAAAATTGATATTTAAATTTATGCACAGCCTGTCTGAGTATGAATAATTACCCTGGACATCCTTAATTTGCTTTGGCTCCAGTTTTGTGATATTGCATTCAGTACGTCTATTTAGAGTAAGCATTAATTTAACAATTACAAATAAGAGAACTAATTAGTTTTCAATGCCATACTTGTTTCTGAGCGTTAGTAAAATATACTACACTACTTCAGAGAGGACATTGAAGCAGAGGTTCCCACGTCTGCACTGAGCTGAATAACTGTGTTTGGGTCAGTAGTCGACTGCAAATCTAGACCTGGATGCAGTTTTGAGAGACGTATAAACTGTGAATCTCTCCATGAAATGTGTATGAAAAACACAAAAAATTAAATACCGGTATAACCATCCAATTTCATAGAAGTTGCTGATAAAATGATGTTGAAAAGTGATAAAATGTCAGCAATTAAATATTATCTCCTGCTCTTTTAATTGAACTTTAATCACACACAGTAGGCTCCTACATTGTCTAGCAGGCTATTAACAAAGCAGGAGATAAAACAATTGTAAATGAAACACTTTGCAATAAAGGCAGTCTACATATTGGATTTATTTTTACAGGAAATGTGTAGGGAGACTGTCTCACATGCAGGGGAGGTGTGACTTGGGCTGCATAAAAGTGACATAGTTGGCAGCAAATTGAATAGTTAGACTGCGGCGACATGATCCATGCACCGAAACCACTCCATTAAGCTAAAGCTGTTTTGGTGCTTATAGTGTCCCTTTAACCCCTTAAGGACACATGACATGCGTGACATGTCATAAATCCCTTATATTCCAGAAGTTTGGTCCTTAAGGGGTTGAAAAAAAAGAAAGAAGTGGAACAAACTGAAAACTGGAAAAAGTGACAGAAAGGCCTCAGTCGTGAACACAAGAATTTTGCAACAAAGCTAAGTCTTGAAGGAGTTTAATAGTATGACATTATTACACAGGTATATGTAACAATATGAGGCAATGTTCCATGTAACATAATGTAAAAAAAATTAAAAAGTGACCAGCAATCTCAGCTTTGTTGAGAATCCTTAAAAAAAAAAAATAAAGGCGCATTTGCATTCTGCTAGTGATATGATATATAAACACAAATCGAGCAATGCTCCTGGAAGGAAATGTACCTTTTTTGCATTTGAAAGAAAGCAATAACATAATTCCCTATAATGTTAATGCATTCTCCCAAAAATATCTAAAGGACAGTGAATACAATGTGTTGAAACAATATTAAAAAAAAACACTATGTGTTTGGGGGGATGGAAATAGAGTTCCCTCTGTAAAAGGGACACTGTAAGCACTGAAACCTCTTCATCTCAATGAAATAGTTTTAGAAGGAGCATTGCAAGGTTTTAAAAACACCGGGGGCTTAAGCCCAAAGGAAAACATGATAACCCCTACATTAACTAAGTCGTGGAAATATGTCATGTCATATCGCTGCCTGTCCATGTTATGTACCCTCCTGTGTCCTGTGTACACATGAACAACGTGTAGCTGATGCTCTCTGTCATCTCAGTTAAAGTATAACCTAAAACAAGCACATATTGCACATGCAGACAGATATTCAAGTAATTGCTATACTACCTAACTAATAGAGGGTGTGCAGAAATGTTCTGTCTCCTAGCACATTCTCCGGATAGTCTGTTGGGGGCACCACCCCCATCCCTTAATAGCCTGATGGGGTACTATACTAATAATCTTTCTTTGAGAAGCTGTTGTCTTATAAAATAAAATAAAAAACACTAATATCCTCCTTACACCTCCATCAACTGTAGCGATCCAGAACAAATGAACCCCATGTCTAGGGTTACATCGCCTAAGAACCCCCTAACAAAATCTGTAAAATCTGTGGTGCCATCTTTCCACTAACAAAATCTGTAAAATCTGTGGTGCCATCTTTCCACTCAGTGATAAACCATATTCAATGTTAAACAAGAGTCACAGCAGTCTATCCCCTTTGTGCTGCTTGTGCAAGAATTAGCCGAAGCAGCAATGGGCGACTCTGATTGACCGAGAGTATCAGCAAAGGCTTCCAGCCAATAACAGCCACCCATTGCTAGTATGTGTTGGTATGATTAAGGAAGTGTGTTTTTACCTCAGCCATATGGATGTGAGCAGAGAGGGACCCATATTCAGTATTAAACGGCTTGAAATGATTTAACATTGAATGGACGGAGATTCCAGGCTTTATAACCAATTCACTGAGATGCAATGGTCATAGTGCCTAGAGTGTCCCTTTAAATATATTGTCTGTTTTGCCCAAGAAACAAACCAGTTTTTGTCTTGATAAATCTCCCCCAATATCCATAACTGAACAGAACCTTCAAAGGCGTAACATTTACAACATTCAATAAATGAGAAAAGACATTTAGAAAACAATTTTATTAGACAAATTTTTAGACAAATTATACACAGAAAGCTCTGCCACTTGTAACTGAGGCTTCCAAAATGTGTTTTCTGTATTTTATTATTTAAATAGGCATTACATCAAAATAGGCCTATTTTAAATACTGTACATGGCTAACAGTTATTTCTTCTTCAGCTAAATTCACTGCAACTTCTGATATGTCTCTACATAGCTTTATTATATCTTTCACTTTTGAACTTAGAGGTATGCATGAGACAATGGATGCTGCAGAGGGGAAAGAGTACAAGATATGCATGCTTCCAGACACTCATACTCTTAGAAACAAAATGGCCGTTGCATGATTAGAAACTGATCTGCCTTACACAGTAGACAATATTTTAATATTTCGTACAAAAGCAGTGACAGCACAAGATGCTCCCTGGATAACCAGCATCAAAAATATTTATGAAGAATATATATATATTTTTTTATATTTTTACAATTTTTTTTTCTAAAGCAACTTTTTTTTTTTTTTTAACCTAAGTCCAAAAGAACAAAAAACAATACTACCCAGTCTTCACATAACATTTTCACCCTTGGTGTGCCAACAGGGTGAGGACACCTTTGGCACTCTAAGGGTGGAGAATTACCCTTAATTATGGGTGTATCAGGCAATGAAGTACATCATGTGAAAAATGACAGATAAACAGTTGGATGATAATAATATTTTACAAGTAAACTGATGTACTTAAGAGTAAACACAATCAATGCTGTCATCCTTATCATTCATTTTCTGTGTTTATGTAACACTTGAAATATCCAAAAGCCCTTCATGTTTATTTTTTTAATCACCAGAAAGTTTTGTTTTAACTTCCATATTAGTTTCTACAGTTTAATAGTAGTATCATAGGGCTGTGTATTTGTATATAGCATGGCCCAATATGCTAATTAATGAAGTTTTTTGAGGTAAAATAATACTGGAACCACTTTTTACATAAGTTTCCTAACATGTAAAGATAAACTAAATACTTGCATTATCTAAGTATTACTCAGTCCAACAACTAAGATAAATGTGACAACATTTTCAAATTGATCTTAGTACAGTTGGCGCACATGTTAAAAAACATATGCAACTTCTTTATATTTCTCTATAATCTAATAATTTAAGGATTTATTTAATCATTGAACCAGCTTTTTTTTTTAAAAGAAAACATATTTAATTAAGGCCACATCAATATTACAATCCTCATAAAAAATAAAAAAAAATTATGCACCAATTAACTATGGCACAAGGAAAAATGTATAAACCTAATCAGAAGAATATTTTTTGTGGTGTCTGAGTGTTAATCTATGCAATATATATTTTATTATATTTTTATTTCTTGTTCTTAAAAAGTATACTAATCTATATATTGTAGGATATATTATATGCCATCTTTTCTCAAAGCCTTTAAAAGAGAATTAAAACAATATTTTCAGGATAAGGTACGCCTACATAATTATGTGTTATAGACCAATTTGCAAATTCTTACAATTTATTCCTAAAAGGATTCACATTTTAGGTTTTTTTTTTAGACCCTCAATGATAACCAGTGCTATATATGGCTGGAAAGAAAAAAATTAAATTAAAATAACTACAAATGAAAAATCACAAACTGGCTGTCGACTACCCTAAGGATGAATTGGATGTTTACATGAATGAAATAGCAAAATACAACCCAGCAGAATACAATACAGAATTATGTCAAATTCTTTCTGAGCATCACATTTTAAATGATATTTTTGGACTTTTTTTTTTGCCAACTCTCTGAAGTGTCTCTGTGAAAATAACATATAAAATAACAAGACATAGCTCCTTATGAACTTGTACATTATTCATTGAAGAGATAAGAGGTCCTCAGTGGTTTAAATCTATATGTAGTTAAAAATTACCAGTCATTAATAGTAATTTTTCCCTAATAACACTAGTACTAAAATTTTACCTAATAAAATGTCTGCAACAGCTTCCTGTATGAGCAAGTTGTGGAACCAGAAACTTTATATTTGTAGTAGTAGTAATACTATGTGAAAATTACAGAATTGATAAAAACAATATCTAATGTAAACTGACAAGGACTTACTAAACTATACATTTTGTTGTATATATATTTTTTTCTCTTTTTAAACTAAAGCTATTTCATGAGTAGAATGGGTTCTTTTTTACATACATGCACACGTATATGAAGTTATATCTATGTATACAGTTATAGATACTATATCTATATATATATATTACATATAGATATATTTATATCTATAAATATATATATATATATAGATATAGTTACATACATGCTGTGTAGTTTCTAATATGTTTAGTACGTACATGTATATTATATACATACACATACTTGTATACATGTACACATGTATGTATGTATGTATACCAATGTAGTTTGACATGGAGGCTTCCTCCCAAAAAGTATACTTAAACTTACATAGAAAAAAACCATTGCATTCTATACATTTACATAAAAGTCATATACACTGTTACAGTGCAAACATAGATTAAAAATGTAGTTTTCACTGGCATAGTAATGGCTTTTTGTAATCCTACAAAATTGCATTCTCATATCTTTTGGCCTTTATGGCCTTTTTTTTTTACTGCAGGGTTTGCCTTTGGTCCACTGTTAAAGGACACAGCAGCAGCAGAGGACATAAGAGATGTGTAGAATCATTGCAAAGTATTGAAGTTATTGCAAATGTACCTATCAAATGAAAAGGAGAATAATAGATTAAGATAACTGGAAAAGAAGCAAAGAAGCCTAAAGTCAGAAAGAAATCAAAGATGGCATGGACAATGAAGTGAATCAAGACATTCTAAAACACATTTACACACAAAGGATGAAGAAAGATGAAGCGAGTAATTGAAAATTGTTATTAATTATCTGGATATAAAAAATACATCCATGTTAGTCCGTCATTTTACATAAGCTCCTTGCAAACAGAGTCCTAAAAGAAACAATGGGAAAAGTTCCTCTTACGTTCATATAGAGGTGCCTCTGTCAGGGTCATTGCCAAGATTGAGGCCTAGAGAGGGAGTTGGTTGGTAAGGGATAGATGACATAGTTTTGATTGGACTCCTGAAAAATCCACCATTGGGTGCCCTGTGCCTAAATGGACCAGTTCTGTGCTCAGGCACATTGCCAAAGGAAAAACCAGAAGCAGCTTTAGAAGACAAGTTACGGCTTAGAGTTTGTATCTGTTCTGGTATAAAAGTTGTAGTAGTTATATGAGTGTTCCTGAAGTCACTTATTTGCTCCAGAGTTTGACGTGTTGGCAAAGTATCAATGTCTAGCGGAGTTAGATCAATCGATGATGTGGAAAACTGTTTGTGAGGACTCTCGTCATCTGTGCACAGGCTGTTCACACGTCGGTGGAGATGTTCCAGGTCAATTTCTTTGTCATCCTGAAGGAGAAAGGAGAAGGAGATGCACAGTATTCAGTAGGAACCTTAAACATCTGATGCTGGGAGTAACCACACCAGCTCAGAATAATGCTGCTTCCAATATAGGTATATTAATGCTGACAATACATTTCAATACAGTTATTTATTTTATGTAAAAAAAAGAAATAAAAAAGAAAGAAAGAAAAAAAAAAGAAAAAAGTCAACTATTAAGAACATGACAAACACACTGCAGTAATATTTGAAGTCTTTCTAAACCCTGTAAAATACATATTTAGATATTTAATTGATTCTGCATGTCTAATACAATTATTATTAAAATATCAATATACCATGAAAGCATTCAATAAAAGGCTAGCCAATGTTCGCAAAACACATGTAAATACACGCAAACACACACATACACACATTAATTGTTTATTGCATTGTCTGATAATACCCATTTCTTTTGTTTTAGAGTAAAAAAATGTCAGAAAAATATTTTCTCTATCAAATTAAAATGCATTTTTCACGAGCAAAGTTAAACACATTTGATTGCAAGCACAGTGGTGTTAATAATTGCCAAGGTTCATGGCCTTCTGTCCATTGGAGCTCCTCTTTGAAGGATAACTTGTTTCATTTTACCTTTTTTGAATGGCTTGACTTTACTTGGGATCCAAGCTAAGTCCAGCACTGCTTTCCACAGAATATAGCGGGAGCAGGGAAAGGTGTCCGGCACACCCCTGTTTGACTCCCATTAATGAAGGGGGGAACCAGGGCCCTTCTGGCACCATAATTACTGCAGATGAGCAAGCAGCCTCCCTTCCCCTGTCCCATCCACTCCACAATTCCATATTGTGCGTGGAGAAAATAATCTTCTGTATATCTATCATATCTTTCAAAGTATACATTTGTTGACAAACTATCTATCTATCTATCTATCTATCTATCTATCTATCTATCTATCTATCTATCTATCTATCTATCTATCTATCTCTGCCTATGTAATAATATTTTCATATTAATATAATTAATATTATATATAGCACATTGTATTCCAGTACAAGTGAATACTTCTGAGAACATTTTAAAATGTAGACACATCCTGTAAACTTGATGTGCTATTTTAAAAATGTGGCTCTTACAATGTGCCAGGTTTAAATACACGTGTTTCACAATGATCCTAATTATTGTAGACTAAAGCATCTACAAGCACATGACATTTGAAATGCCTCTAAGTCCTGCATATTTCCATTCAATGTGCTATTCTACTATTTCTTATATTCTGTATAATCAACTGCTAAAACCAGAATGGAGCCTTAAATTGCTCCTTATCAATTGCTTAACTGAAAGTAAGCATAAGATCAGAGCTAAAATGTACTGAGAAAAGTGAATAATTTTTAGAATGACAAATACACTGAGACAATGAAGAGGGAAACATTTGCATGTTGAGTAGCATGTTTAGGTCACATGGGGACAACTAATATTTCCAAAAACTATAGATTTAATTCTTAGTACCTTTTACTCATTGTTTAAATTACTGAAGCATTACAACCTAGAGATACAAAGAATTAAAATAGATTTTGGCTTAATGTTATTGTGACAATGTCACTCATTCTTTCACATGCACAGTATGTTTGAGGCCTATGGGACACATTAAACTCCATAATAACTTATGCTATAGATAATTTATAGGAGATTGAGGTCCCTTATTTGTTGCATGCAGTTCATTATAATGGCAAACTTCACCTTCAGTGACAGCCTGTAGAAGAAACCATATTGCTGCAAATTGCTTAAGAAAATATCACTGAGACCAAGTGGACCTCTGGAGTCCCTTCTGCTCATCAGTTTATCATTAAAAGTGAGTGGCCATATACAGTTCCACACTCCACTGCTGTAACTCGTACACCACTGACCTATTATGTGGAAACAGAAAGTCCTTATGATCCCCATCTGTATCATTTGATCCCTAAGTAACTGTGCAGGAATGAAGGGATCAGAAAGACAGTGTATTTGATTCTCCCTAGATTTGCAGGACAAACCACTGCCTCTGTATAGAAAACACCTTGTTGCCTAGTGCAGGGGTAATCAACCTTCGGCACTCCAAGCAAAGCATCATGGGACATGTAGTCGACAACATATGGAGTGTGGAAGGTTTCCTACCCATGGCCTAGTGAATTGGTAATCAAATCACACACCTCAGAAAATGCAACTCTCCCATCATCCACCATGTCACTGGATCCTTAATGTGTAATGAGGGATACAAAAGGAACTCATTTATGAATTTATATATTTGTATTTAAACCATTTTAGTAAGTTAACTCAAGACTAATATGGAACTTCCTAAGGTCTTCAATTCCTACTCCTACACATTTCAGACCAGTGTTTGAAGACCGTCATGCCTTTTTTAAATTGAGCGATTTGGATGGAATCCAATTTTGTATGAATTTCTCTTTAACGAATAATAAAAAAAAAAGTACAAAAGAAACCAATCCTGGTGTTAGTGAATATATCCAAGAATGTAACTTTCCATTTCAGTTCTGAGTCTTGTATTGTGAGTTATGTAGAAATAAAACTCTGTTTCATCAATTAACTTTGTCTATATTTAGCAGTCATATGTCTGGAAATATTTCCAACAAGATGTTTTTAAGCTATGACAAATGTCACATCTAACGTACAATGAGTTCAGCATGGGAGGCACATTGTACCTATGTTCAATATACTATGAAATCTAGTGAACACATTTACAAAGTATATATTTTAATAACTAAGCTTAAAGGTATAATCAATACTTGGGTATTTTAACCTAGTTTTTGCATTTAATAAACTCCATTGCTTTATGAAGTTAATCATACACAGAAATAACCGAGATAGATGGATCAGAGAAATAAAATAAAAATAAAAATTGAAATACAATATGCACTTTTTATATGCATGGGTAGTGCAAAACACTATTAAATTGTTTGAATTTATAAGAGAGTTCCTGAAGATGCACATGTAATTCTGTGTGACAATTTACAAAATCTGTGGATGAACTGTAATGAGGGACAACACTGTATTTCAGTTTTGTTTCAGAATTGAATATTTTATTGTGTTTTTTTCTATTAAACAGAGTCATACATAGGGAGTTCAAACCCAATGACTGGGCACTGCATGCCAAAGCTTGTAAAAAACTTGCAATGTCTTGTGCGTAGGTAGAGGGTATTGTGTATGAGCATTTACCTGTAAACAACTGCTAATCCCCAACCACTTTGCTTGCCCTAAATAATCAAACCACAGAATTACTTGGTGAAAATAGGACACAGCTTTATTAAATATTTTAATATGTATAAATCTTTACACTTCAACTTTACAACATAAAACAACCTATATATATAACTTACTCAGTAAATATATGTCACTGAGTACCACCTTGCCAACCAAAAACATTCACTTGGGCTGCTGCCCTCCCCCCTCGTCCCAACCAGCACAAGGCCTTTCTGGGCCTTCCATTCTCGTAATGTTAACCACTTGACGATTATTGGCTCTGTGGGCACGTCTGTTATCCATAACTGTACCTGAGGTTAGGGGAGGGACAGCCCTACCCATCCACTTTACATGAACCACTGGTCCAACTCCGGTAGACAAGGACCATATACCGCCACAAGTCCAGCTGGTTTACCTCCTAAATCAGCACGGCCACCCCAACACCAAAGCCATGGCCTCCTCCAATGCATCCTGCAATGCCAAATTAAATAAGTCAAGTCCCACCTCCGTAAGGTGGACCCCATTACCCGTAAAATACAAAGCTGCATTTTGTGTGAAGA